GTGTTATGTTACCCGACGTCGTATCTGCCCCCGTGTCGCGATTTCCGTCGTCCCGTCCTTCGACTGTTCACCGGCATCGACAGCTCACGCGCCGTGGATTCCGTGGGCGACAGATTCACCAAAGCCAGGGTGTGGTGTCGCTGCATCGGTGGTACGCTGAAAATGGCGAACGCCCCTGAAGTATGGATGGGAGGAACGCAGATCGCCAACGCCTACAAGTGCACTCCCTCTTTCTGATCGAACTTTTACCTCTGTAGTTCTCTGATGCGATAAGCATATTGTAGATACTGCTGTACGTATCCAGATCTGATATCTGATCGTAGCGTCGTCGTTATTGTACGTTGCTGGATGCTCAACTGATCACAGTTTCGTTCGTGGCTCGCAGCTGTGCCCTTAAGTGACCAAACCCACGGTCGCATAGTCAGAGCTTTTCTAGATTCGCTGTATCAGGAATGGCTAATAAAACTTAGTTGTAAACAACGTTCATTTTTTACAGTATGCCGCCACAATCAAGCAATGTCACATATTTTGTGTGTAACACCTTTTTTCATAACAAGAACAGTTCGTCGGCTTTACATTTCACTTTGATTTCCGCACCATAGAAGAAGGGAAGATAAAACATCATTACAAAGGTATGCGATAAAACTGATCGATTAATCTAATGGTTTGTGCCCTGATGACGGATAACGTTGCGTTATTACTGTATTAAGTAAATTCATATTTCAAATACGTACGCTGAATCAATACGAACAAGATACTTATCGATTTACTATATTGTATGTTGTATAACAGTAAATGCGTACAAAACGTAGACTCGTTCTGCGTATAACTGACCATTGCAATTTCCATGGCAATTGTTAATGTGGTGATCCAATTGTTAATGTGGTGATCATAATGTCTGTAGTCACAGAGACAATCCTGTTTCAAATGCAAGAACACGCTCAAAATTGGATCGTTCACGTAGAACTATGGTATAATTTCTAGAAATTATGGTCATTCACTCAGTAAGTCATTTCTGGTGGCCGGTTGTCCTATCAGGTCTCAGAGACAGCAGCATCAAACAGTGTTTCTACCGTTCTCGATCCTGTGCCAAGGCTTGAGCTTAGGCGAAAGATAACTGGATTTTGTAGCGTAGACCTTCAACAAAAATGTCCCAAGTCATTCTTAGCCGTTTTCGGCTGGTCGGTTGGGCAAGTAGTAGCTGTTTTGTCCTCTTCGCTGGAAGCATTCGCCAAATATGCCCGACTTCGCCATCTGAGGAAACAGCGGCTGAAGACCGAATTTGTCTCTTTATCTGAATTCTGCACCACGTCGAAATGCGTGAGGCCAACGATTCGTTCGAAATGCTCGTATGAAATGCTTACACCACGAGTCACAAAGTTTTTCACTCATGACCCATGACCATTTATGCAGTCATCTTGTAAATTAAACCTCGTGGATTATAGTTTTAAAGGATTTCTATATTCCATAATATGGCTGTTATTTGACTAGTTCTGCAATACAATATTAGTAAGCACATCTTTTATTTATATAGGTAAGTTCTTGAATGAAACTATCTGCATGCATCGTTCTTTTAGAAACCATAAGTGACCTAAAAGATCGATTTTTGATTTAAAGCAATCGCACAACGAAGACGGAAAATAGAAGTCAATCGTAATCACCATAATTAACGATATGAGTTCGTAGGGCGAAAGGTGATGCCATACTTAAATTATCCAGTCACTTAATTTAAGGACATAATTGAAGCGCCCTCCTTCTCCTAGCTGAAAGGTGTCATTAAAACAAATCACTCCTCCATGGTATTGGACGGTAATTCAGCATATACAGCGCTAAATTCACTTTACATCATTTTGCCGGCTAAAACAGTGGCTTTCCACTCACCAATGGCATTTTAGCAATTGACATTCCTTTAATGCAGTTGCACAGCGGGCGATATATTGGTTTGTACCAAGGATGACTGTTATAATATAGAGCTTAATTCGTCGAATAACCGGATTCAATGATAATAATACATTAAGCGTTATCTTCTTATTGAAGTGGTGTTTTTCGACACTACTCCTAGTGTCATTCACCTTACTCATCAGGATCACCTTCGACCTTATTCATAAACTGTCACCCTTTCATTCGAAGAGCACGCAGAATTGTAGAAAGTTGGAAGCTTCACCATGCGTTCGTAGGAGATCAATCTGGAAATGTGACTCCAGTTCTCTCGACTGGACTTGTGGTCAGAATATATATTTATAGACAGATTAGAAAATTTAGGCACGTCTGCTGACCCCTGGATGCAGATTGGCTCTTTAGCCCCCTGTTTCAAAATTCTTGGCAGATCTTTATGGATAACGGGACTTCTAGCTCGCATCCAATTAGTCGTCTTGCTCATTCCCCACACTGTGTGGCACAGATGCATAGAGTGGATTTGTGGACAGTAAAGCATATGGAAAAATGCCAAATGAACGCTTAGTCCATTATTAAGGTTAAATTCTTGTCTTTTTTGTTAGCAGTAATAATCACCTCTTGATCTCGATATCCACTTTTGCTTACTACCACAATCTTCTGTATCTTT